AACCTGCCAGAAGATCATCCAGAAATGAGAAATTCATCCGGAAATATTTTTGCCGTGGTGAACAAGCAGAAATAACATCTGTTATACTCCTTACTACTCAAGTGCGAAACAAAGGAAGGAGCATGTAGACGATTAATGAACAAGGAAAGCTGGGAGAAAGTGTAAGCAAATTTGCGCTGTTATGCTAAAACAAATTTCCACTTTGTAGAGAATTCCAGAAACTTTTAAGGGAGCAAAAGCCAGCAAAACTGACGACAACGAACCGCTACACTGCCGCACGCAAGGAATCACAGCAGGTTGCTTCGAGCAGTGATAAAACGGCTAGGGTTACTGTCTTAGAAGACCTTCATATATCATCCAATGCTATAGATCTCTTAAACCTGGGTCCAAGCTTTGCACCCTCACAAAACATTGACTGAAAGATCAGCTAAGAATGAGAATGAGACTAGAAAGAAAAACAAATCAGAACGATACGCTGATCAGTAAAAAATTATTACCTTTTGTCCCTTTTCCATCATTTTTCTATAAAAAACCCGAGCCGTGCCACGCAGCAGATCTCAAGTTTCGTATATTTTCTTCCGGCGTATTCATTGTCCTAAACAAATACAGGAAAAATAGACAATTCATTTAACTCGCGCGCAATGGCAAGGTTTCAGAGGCCTTCGTAAGATGATTGCCAGTAGTAGTACCCGTTTATCTGTTAGCATAAAGGAGGGGAGTTTGTCGTAACGTTTCAAACACTAGATCTTAAGATCACCAAGCTTCATCTTCAAGACACTAGAGTATACCGTCGCGTAACTGAGAAAGGGTTTATCTCTCAGTGTAAACGTCTAAATCATGTCCGGGTAACGCTTGGAAAGGAAGCTTGTCTCAATGAACGATGTCTTCACAGGTTCAAGCTCGAACATCCAACTTTTCCCGTTTTTGCAGTTTGGTCAAAACGCATAAGCTTTTTTCTCGCGATGCACGTTGCGCACTTGCCACAGAATACAAGATACTGCCAATTATCAGTTGCATCAACGCTCCAACTATTGTTGTATAATCACATCAACTCAATCCGAAATAAACGAGTGTTTGAACTGCTAAATCGACAATCTCAGTACATAAGATTCATCGGAGAGAGACCAAACGAAGATTGGTTGCCCTATCTCAACACCCAACTAATGCTGGCCGGTGATACGATATATATAAAATGATATTGCAAAGACAGCTGCAAAAACATCCTTTTGCACGCCAAGTCCGCCCACACGACTGCCGTTGAGCATGTTATCTTGCGTAATATGTTCTGGACGGTAAATAACATCTGAGTGGCGAAAATGAGCGACGGGAGTATCGAATGCTGGCGTCCGCAATAGCAGCCTCAAACAACTACTGTTCAGCCAAGTTTACACACATCTGAAGAACAACTGCAAAATTTGATGAGAGATCTAACATGATCTCTTTCTGCTTTCCATTCGTCTCAGACAGAGTAACACACACGATACGGAATTGTTTGGCGCAAGCGCAGCTGAAACGTGATGTGGTTCTCGTTGATATACCGCGAAATAACATCAGAGAGCAACTCGTGCGTAATAGATTTATGATACCACCTGCACCTTTCTATGCTGGATTATTGCCCTTACGGAAAAGGGGGGTTGTGCAAGAACTAGAGCATCGGGCTTGAATGCCTAGACTGCCACTCTACATATGGGCGAGACCGGGCGTCCCCTCTATATACGCGTAAACGAACAACTGGCGAGTAAAAAACGGGGAAGCAGAACAGCCTCGTTGGGAAAACACAAGAAAGCTGATCCTACGGCAATGATTTCAATGTGAAGTGTACGGTCTTAGCTTTAGAAAGTAAAATATTCGCTTGCAAAGCGTTGGAAGCGTCATTTATTCAATCAAGGGAACCCAAAATGAATGGCAAAAATGAACAAGTCTCTATCACAGGTGGTCTCATGCCGTACCTACCGTTATGCCAGTTACAACGCCCACATTACATAAGCAAAACCCTAGTAGGACTGCGTTTATACTACCATCATCTGTGCGGAAAAGCTAGGCACTGCCGTCGCAGCGTGTTGTCAGCGTGATCCTTGATGAGTTATTTGTGAACTGAAGGCTCGTTGCTATTCACTTAAGATGAATGGAATCTTCAAACAAAGAAAAGGTTTGACCGTGTAAAGCGTGAGATAAAGGTGAATGAATTAACTTTGGCCTCTGAGGAAAGAATTGATGCCGATACGTTAGGCCGAATAAAGTATACATATCAAACCTGTTTTGGCAAAGAAAGCTCTGAGATATGGACGACCTATTTTCTTAAAGTTGCATTGCCTTTCTAAAAATGAGTTTAAGGTGACGCTGGTGCACACTTGACGCGCTTTATCATGCTTGAACGTTAAAATCATCCACTTTTCAAGGTGGAAGCCACTCAAGTGACTCGCTCCGCACGCAGAAAGAGCTTCAAAGCGCTCAGTATCTTCGAAACATAGAAGTAAAGCGTAGTTATCTCTAACTCAGCTAAGCCCTCCAGAACAAATCACAAAACACTTGGAGCTAGAGCTCGGCACAGGTGGCTTACAAGCAAGCTGGATATCGTTTTTTTGGAACAAAAAGCAAAGGGGGTTTCGTTTTTGCGGGCGAAAAGACACAAAATTTGCGACGTTTTTTTTATTGAGATACTTTTTAGGGATTATGGTCTGGGTCAAAGAGACTTCATAAAATTTGAAATTCAAGGAGGACTTCGTTTTTTTTTGCATTTTCATCTAGCCACCTCGTAGAGCCCTACTTAGAGCATACGTGCGATAAGGTGAGAATGACTCAGAGTGAAGGGGGTCACAGTGGTCGCAGCTTCTCCAGGGTGAAGGGTGTTTCACTTGATCAAGAAATTGTAAAATGTCGACCGAGGGTCGGGTGGAGTGTTGGTGAAACTCTTGTAATGGGAGTTCTCAAGTGGAGGCTTTTTTACCATTGCAAAAGAACGTCTACTTGAAAACTCCCATTATAAGAGTCTCACCCAAGGTCAAGCATGGGGTGTGACACCCCACACCTGGGGATCGTAGAGGGGTCAGAAAGAGGGGGGGGGACATAATGTCAATTAACAATGTCTAATAGGCCAATTAAGCAAGGCACTAGCTGTGGTGTTTCGGCCTACCGTGGTACACGTACAGTAAGCATAACAAAAAATTTCGAAGGTAAGAGCACCATTTTCGTAATTAGCATGTCAAATAACCCCTTTGGGCCAAGTTTCACTTTGTGGTTTCCGAATATTGGGTCACCCAAGTGAGGAATTCATTTTCAAACTTTGTTTCAAAGGTGATAAACTACTCCTTTTTGCACTCATTACAAAGTACTACTACTTCTTTGTTCACATTAGAAGTCCCACTTCAACGAACCTCCGAAATCTGTAATTAAGATCAAGCCAAAATCTTGTCTACCCCATTTTTCGCTTGCAGTTTTTCAAACTACAGAAGACCAGTCAGGCTCAACTCACTTTTGTGAAAGTTACGAGGATCAGGCTATCGAGTACGCTTGTTCTTGATGCCTTCCCTCGCAATTTACGTATTAGCGCAGAGTTAGCATGTTACCGTAATCCAATATTTTCGCAATTTTTTTCCATCTGCATAGCTAAGGAAAATCGACTATATCTTTTCCTAGTGAAAGCAATTTTGAATGAAATTTCTGCTACGTGGAAAAGAAGATTTAGCAGTAACAAACATATGAAGAAGACAGAGATTTGAATGCTTTGATGGTAATGGGGTTGTGCCACACCCCATTAACCACAGAAAAAAATTTTAGCGAACAAAATACATATAGTTCAATAGTTCAGTCTTGTAGTTTTCATAGGAGTAATTTGGGCTTGATTCATCTTCGTCGCTCTGTAAAAACTGGTGAAAACGTAGCCATTAAAAGCGAAAAGTGGGACAAACGAGATTTTGGCCTGCTTCTGATTCCATGGCTTGATGCTTATTTGAAGCAGGATTCATGGTATGAGCAAAGGAGGAATGCCTTGTATTGGGTACAAAAAGAGTAAGCTAGTTCATTTTGGAATATAGTTAATCATACTTCAAAATGACACTTTACTTGGATGGCCCACTGACCACTTCACTTGGGAAACCCTAAGAATTTGATAAAACTTGGCCCAAGGGGTTTAACTGACATGATAATTACGAACACAGGTGCGATAAGTTGAGAATGACTCCTCCAGGGTGAAGGGGGTCACAGTGGTCGCAGCCCCTCCAGGGTGAAGGGTGCTTCACTTCGTAGATAGAGGAATTATAAAACGACGGGGGGGGGGGGGGAGCCATGGTGTTTTCTCATCATTTTCCTAGTCAGAGTTCATAATTTATTCCTTACCATCACTGTTATCTTTTTTTCTGAAATGTGAACCGATGTGCTGCTGGATTAGCACACAATTATATTTCTGACCAGCATCTTGTATTTTTTTAACATTTCTTTTCCTTTTTTACATCACCCTGCCTGTTTTTGGAATTACCATAGAAGATGTGCATGCGAGAACATTTGTTTCGGAAAGAGTTAGACAATTTTTGAGCATTTACGAATTTTTTTAAATGAAGAAATTCGTAAATGAACAGCAACGTCAGCAAGGAAATGTTTTTAAAACCATCTTGTCCGCTTTCAGAGAATATATAGTTTGGAAAATGTCTTTTTTTAAAGAATATATGTACGGCAGCAGGAACAACTCAAACGGGAGAATGATCCTTACCGTCCTTGAGCTGATTATAGAAAGGAAAGTCATTGAAATGCTTGCAAGCAGGGTAGCAGGAGGTCAGGTACATGACCTTCAAAAACAACCACACGCTCAGCAAACGTACCTGAACGACCCCTCCTTTCTCACTCTCACCTCCGCAGTCTCGTATGCCGCACTTAGGAGAGAAAAAGCCTGTGGCAACTTTCCGATTTTTTGCAGTCCTCTGCGCATGTTTTCTGCGATAGCACACGGCTTAGCGGTAAAAACAGATATAATTGACGGTGAACTTGCCCCATTCTTTACGTTCGCTTCAACATATTGCAGTGCATTCTAATAAACTTGCTTTGATTGTGTTCAGAGGTTTTCCATTTCGTAGGTAATTCACAGCTTTATGGGCGCAGTCGGATATACAGCTTGGTAGTGCTTGTAAGATGTAGACCTGGAATTAACTTGGTAAAAATGTGTTATATCTAGGATGTCCCAAAGGTATGTACGCACTTTTTAATTGCTGGTATCCATCTCTCTTTCCAAAGCCTTTGAGATTTAGGTTCCTTATCTAACTGGTTTCAACTTAAATTTGCAGTGTAAAGCTATTCACCGATTTCTCACTATCACTGTAGGATTATGGTAGGAAATTCCAGCTTCCGACATTATAACGTCATTGTGAAATAGGCCGATTGAAAAAAAATCCAAAAAAAAGATTTTTTAATCTTTTTCGAAGCTTACATCTAAATCAGTATATGACTGAGCCGACGCGAGACGATGTGGTATTGGACTTGGTCTTAGCAGGGTTAGTGTGTCACTAAGGCACTGCTTAGAGCTCCTTTCGCTAATTTCGATCACAATACAATTGAAGCCCATTATAAAATCAACCTTACAAAATGTGAAGTACCAAAACCCCTATTCGTTAAGATTCTCCATAGCAATGAAAAATGAGCTTGAGGCCGTTGATTGTGATGATTGCTTCAACCTTTATACAGTACTTCTAATGGTTACTATAGATTTTCTTGCATCATATACCTACTATTGGCACTATTTACCACATTTGGAACTGGACTTGGTTATCTGGAAAATCTCAAGCATGTTCAGTCACTTATATTGCAAAAAGAGAGACTATTTAGAGATATGATAGCGAACTGTATAAGAAAGTTTCTGCAATATTGCATTCCACCTCAGGAGTTATGTCGCAAAATGAGAAGCGCTTAGCTTTGTCCAAGAGTTCATGGTGTCCTTTCGATACATCCACAATCGAATTTACGTCAAAAACTTTGATGCCTTGAATACTACGTCGGGTAAAGTTTACCATACGGATCAGAGCAGAGCACAAACCCTCGTTGTTGGTGTTTTTTTCGCAAGCACGACGGCAACTTCAATTAATACCTCTTGAAGCCCCTTACTTCATACCTGCTCAGCTCCTATTGTCATGCCCTCTACGGTTGCACGCTATTTTAAAACTCTCGAACGTTCAACTTTCGAGCCTTTTGACGGTATACCACAGATCCTGTTCAACGATGTGCAAAAAACCTTTCTATTCCCTTCCCCACATTCTTAATATATCGCTTCTGTGCGGTGTTACCAAGTAACTGGAAAAAGGCCGTTGTTACTGTTGTTCCAAAAGTCAATAAACCGCAAACTGTACCGGATTTTAGGCCTATAAGTATTGATTCTGTTCCACGCAAGATCTTGGAAAAGATAATTCGAGACAAGCTTTCAGCATGGCTTGAAAAATTCAAGATGATTTGCTCGGAGCAGCATGAGTTTGTTAACGGGCTCGATAATTACACAGCCGATTTACTCTACCCATGATTGGATCAAAAATCCTTTGAAAAGCCAAAAAGTGGATGTTATTTATTTTGACTTATCCAAAGCGTTATCGTGTAGGTCATGGCAAACTACTGTATAAACTTGAGCAGTATGGCATCGGAGGCGCTTTTCTGGATTGACTTACATCTCACTTGCATTGTAGATATGTGACCGTTCGCACCAATGGAGGCTACTCTGAACGTATTTCTTGCGCTAGTGTGCTTCTACAAGAAGATTTTTCACCTCTCTTATTTACAATCTCTGTAGCAGATTTACCTAGAATATTGAAAACTCATACCAATGTTACTGTTCTTATGTATGCAGACGATATCAAAATATATGGAGTATACAATAACAAAAATTGCACTGTGGTTAAGAATCTCTGCAACGTTCCATCAACGTTGTGATTGACTGGTGTAAAAATTGGGATTCTGTTAACATTAGAAAAAGCACCGTGGTTTATATTGGTGATGAAGAAGAAATACATTATGAGTATGATGAGTGAATTTTATCAACAAAACATCGGTCAAGGATCTGAGAATCTTGTTTGATTTTGAATTGAAGTCGGACCTACAGATAGCTTCCATCATCTCGCGAGCGTACTCTATCTTGTATACAATTTTTCGAAACATCAAAACCACTGAACCAAAAGTCTTATTGAGTCTTTATAAAGCCCTCGTTGTTTCTGTGCTTGATTATGCAAGTCAGGTGTGGAGCCCTTTTTGGGTAAGCCCTAGAGCGCTTTGGAGAGCGTTCAGAAAGCCTTTACAAAACTGCTTTTCTATCATTGTTTCTTTAACTCAGCATATCCTCGTTTACTTCTTAACTATGAACAGCGATTAAAGACACCCAATCTTAAGTGCCTTTCATATCGTAGATTTGTTCATGATCTTGTGCTAGCTTTTAGGATCTTTAGGGGGAAGCAAGACTGAAGCCCTCCAAACCCAGTTATGGGAGGAGTAACACATTTTTAGTCTACTTATCTTATCCAAATGGTTGGCAAAAACCTTACCGTTTTTTACCTGATCACGAGCTTTTTACCAGTACGTCAAAAATGATGCAAAGTTTACTGCATGAATTTTTGGCATGTGCTGAAGTACCTCTCTCAAAAGAGAGCTTAGAAAAAGAAGATTAAATGAAATCTCTTTAGGATCAGTACAATTAACATCATTGCTGTCCTAACTAAATGTCACTTGATCACTGAATGTTTTGTTCCTGTCGTTTCATAATGGTCTTGTCTTCGTTTTGCTATTGGGGTCTATCGTTTGGCGCTTTGGCTTGGTAGTGCCGGTTAAATATGGCAGTTTTTCTTATTTGTAACTAGCTGGCTTACCCGGCTCCGTCGTATCCGGACCAAACTTGGCACACATACACTTCGGGCCCCGGCGGGTGTCACAGTCCACTTTTCGTTATCGATCGATGTCGATTTTACCGATTTTTATCGATTTTTTTGCAGAGTTCACCTACAGGGCTAGGAGTTGGCACAGGGGGGGGAAGTGAGCATGGGGATTCCGAATACAATATTAGTTTTCAGAATTATCGATTACTTTTATTGATTTTATCGATTTTTTTTGTAAATTTTGACATGCGAGGCTGGGATTTTGCACAGGGGGTAATCGAGCATGCTGATTACGAACAGAATATTAGTTTTCAGGATCGTCCATTACTTTTATCGATTTTATCGATTTTTTGAAAATTTGAGCTAGGGGATCACCCCCCTTGAGGGTGATCAGCATGCTCGATTACCCCCCTGTGCCAACTCCCAGCCCCCTAGCTCAAACTTTGCAAAAAAATCGATAAAATCGATAAAAGTAATCGATAATCCCGAAAGCCAATATTGTATTCGGAATCCCCATGCTTGATTACCCCCCTGTGCCAACTCCCAGCCCCGTAGGTGAACTCAGCAAAAAAATCGATAAAAATCGATAAAATCGATATCGATCGATGACGAAAAGTAGCCTATGACACCCGCCGGGGCCCTAAGTGTATGTGTGCCAAGTTTGGTCCGGATCGGTTCAGAAATGGATTTTTCTATTCGGAACATACGTACACACAGACATACAGACATACATACATACATACATACATACAGACATTCAGCTTTATATATAAGATAGAGTAAGGCGATGATCTGCGTTTTGCGTCTCTTTTGCGTTTTTTGTTACTAATTTTTTTCTTCATGTGCCATTCGTCCTAGTCTGGACCGCTTTTTTGTATTGAGAAATTTTTAGATCAAGATTTCTAATTGAATACTGTTAGGTCTTTTCAAGGCTTGGGAGTTAGGTCGATGGACACCTGGCTAACCAATACCCTCGCTTGAACCACTCCGATTATCCTTGAACGATAGCAGTCTCCATTGTTATTCCCTGGCACCCCAACTCAAATAAACGTAGGCATATAAACTTGAGTTCTCTCTTTTTCGTTTGTTGAACTCCTTATTCCAATGAAAGTTGTTTTGTCTAACTCATCAAAGTATGAGCATTCTCTTTTCGGTCCTCAAACATCAAGGACGACTGACCCCTTACTAACAGCATTTATATAGTTCAAATGGTACACCTTGAGTGTAAAAGATAAATATAAAGATAAAACTGTGCACGCTAATATTAATACACAACGTTTAACAAGTTTCTGAGCCTTTTGAATAGTGAAATCACATTTTTAGGAACATCGAACTATTTGCTTATACATTATACCTGGAAAAGCTTGGAAAAAAGCACTACGTTATTTTTTCCGAGGCAAAATATTCCACTTTGATAGCGTAATTTCTTCTAATTTCCCACCGTAATCTATTTGTAGGATTAATCGGTGAAGTAGTGTACCTTATTCCTGAAGCCGGCTCCACAGAATGGTACCGAAAGCTGGCAGAGGACTTTGTAAGAGAAGAGTCAACAATTAGCATGTGTATGCACACTTTTGGGATACCCTTGAGCCATAGTGGCCCGAAAAATTGTAGAAAGCTTTGACTTATTATAAAAACAAGTGGAATAAAGATAGGGGGACGCCTCAAACACAGCTCGACAATCTTTTCTTCCTTTTTGGTAGGCATGTTTCTATACTACTAGTTTCTCTCCAGATCTTGAATACGCACAGAAACAATTTCATGGTTTTTCAACAATTAAACTTTAGCAACTTTCAAACTTCTCACCTACGCTTTTGAAAGCACTTGGTTAATAGGCGGTAACAAACATTTCTCAATCGCGTTTTCTTGACATCTATATATTACTCACTTATAGATGCTTTTAAGGAAGCTTGTTTTCGTGGCATTTTTAGACAGTATGTATACCATACGAAGGCCATATAACACTTTTCATAGATCTTCCTAATCTGCGAAATCTTTATGAACAAGGATATCAGTAAAATGAGTTGCTGAGATCTAACTAGCCCTCACATAATGCGATCTACTTTTATCTAAGAGTATTTATTGAATAAAATTGAATACTGACTACACTGAAAATTATCGCAGCTCCATTGAAGAGCTAGAAAAAATTAAGTTATTGTAGTCCTACTTGCGCAATGAATTTTTTGCCCCAGTAAGCACTCATAACTCCTCGTCCATAAGGCTTGATACATACCTCGTCGGGTGTCTACACGTAGCGGTGGCAGCAACGCATTTAATGCGTATCGATTGCAGCGGAGTTACGCTGCTGCCTCACGCTGCATCAGCCAACGCAAAAAGTCATGCCCATACTTAGCTTCTCATTTTTGAGTAGCGCTGCTCGTGCTGATCAGCGCTGATCAGCGCTGCTCTAGATTTTGCAGCTGTGTTACGCATAATAGAAGATAATTCCTAGAATCCTTTCGTTTGCCCTCCTTAAAGATGGGATTTCCTTTCGCTCAGCAGCTCTACGAGCGTACTTTTCGTAAAGGTCCCTTCGTCACTTCTTGAGACATCCTCTTTTCGGCTAATCAAAGTATGCTCGCTTCCCTGTATTTCCGAGAATTTTCCTACAATGTTCTGCGGCTGGCGTTAGCTACCAATTGCTCGGAGCAATTGCATTCGAACTCCGCCTCAAGGCTCTTCGTTTTCCGAGCAATCCCTTGAAGGCAGCGTCCAGGCAGATCTGGACCTAGGGGATTTTACGTAGAAAGTACTTTTGGGGTCCTAACTAAGGCACTGCTCAAACGGCAGCGTAGGTAGTGCTCTAACGGCTGAGATATTCCCCTCGAAACTGGACCCCACGATTGCATCCGCATGGATTCATGGCAGTTTCGCGCCAGGACACACGCTTTGCGCCATTAGTCCATGCGAAATACGATCGCGGGGGTATACCTCAGCCGTTAGAGCACTACCTGAGCTGCCGGTTGAGCAGTGGCTTACTTAGGGCCCCAAAATTACTATCCACGTGAAATCCCCATGTGTCCAGACTTGCCTGGACGCTGCCTTTAATAGCCTTCAAGAATCATTCCCAGTTCTTCTCATAAGTTTTAAAGCACTATTTGCGCAGGCTTTCAACCTTCTCAGGAGTCGAGCGGTTGTACGTTGAATCCTCCTCGATGGGCCAGTCACAACTTGTTATAAGCTCGCCCAGCTTGTTATTGTGGCATTCGACCCCCTTCCTTCCTGCGACGCTATGGCAGCTCTTCTTTTCCAGATTATGACTAAATCGTGGAGGCAGTGATTAGAGCCACTGCAGGCAGTTGGGGCTAGTAAGACATCGAGCAAGATCTACCTTGGTTGTGGAAATGTAATCGATCACTGCATGAGTCGCTGCGATCCCCGTGTCCATCGAAGAATCATTTTCCTATCATGAAGTTAGAGGAAAGTGTGCGGCGTAGAAAAGACCAATAAAACGGATGTAGTTTTTGTTGCGAGGCCCATATTCAAGCTTTGCGCGATGCTACATGTACCAAATGTGTTCTGCAGCACCGACAGGAGCGTAAAGTTCGGCGTCTGTGGAATGTTTTGGGGTTGCAAATGAGAGCACGAGGCAGTCTCCATGGCGTGTCATCGCAGACATGTCAGTTTCGTCCCGTTGTATCGTTTTTGTCAAGTATCTTTATCTGGTATTTCAAAATTCAAATTTTTTGGTATTAGCAAATTCCATTGTTGCTGAACCCAAATCACGTAGAACATCGGGCGAGCAAAAGTGGGTGTCATTTAATGTAATTTCTTTTCTCTTTCTGACAGGCGTTTTTCTCTCCATTCGCGAAGGCTTCGCGGAAGAACTTAGCACACAGCTTCTTAGGTTAAGGGACCATGGCGCACCTAAATTTTCCCGATCCGTTAGTTCGAAGTTTTGTTTTTGTTTTGTATAATTAGTGTTAAGCAATAATTGGCCTTTGAAATTTTCAAACCCTGAAAATTCGAAGTAAATTTCAAAAAAGTCAATTCAGAAGTACTAAATTAGCTCGAAATGCTCAAAAATTCAGTTCATTGCAAATTGTTTGATCTATTTGCTTGTTATGAAGCTTTTGCAAAATTAGAATGAAAAGTTTGGGAAATGGAAGTGGAACTCTATGGTTCGAAACTAGGACTATTGTTCGCGAGAGGAACCAGTTCAGAAACATAACTGCTGAAAATAGGAAGGGAAACTGCGCTGAACGGCTCTCCATTTGCCTATCTTGAATGCACTTGATTTTATGATGGGTCTAAACACGAGACATAAGCTCGGAACGAATATACAAGGTGTTCCAGAAAATGATTAAACGTTTGATCGCTAAGAATTTTCCTTGTCTGCGCAACCGCAGATTTTGTTTCATGTGTGGCTTCAACTCAGATCTACGGTAGAATGTGGGGCAGCGTTTTATATACATTACTTTAGGCCTACGGTAAAATCATCTTACCGAAAAAGTTTTGCGATAAGGAGAGCATATCTTGCTCCAAGGATTGTCGCGTAAGAGCTAAAAATTCTGCCCCTTATAAGGAAACGATATTCGGTGTCCGTAGCCTTATGAGATGGGGTGTAAAAACCACTACACTGGTCTTAGAACGCTGATTCGTAATCTGACTTCCAATTCTGTTAATTTCTTTGAAAAAAGTTATGGAAGATTTTCAAAAAGAACCCTAATTGGGTAGGAGAACGAGCTCCGCCAGTTTGAATCGCCTCCGCGGGCCACTGGTCCTGCAACGACATGCAACAATATAAAAAGGACCGGTTGCCATCGAAGACAGGCTCAAACTGGCAGAGTGCTTTCCCCTACCCACCCTAATTGAGGCTATGGAAACTAAAAAACACAAAAGGACTTGAAGGATCTGCATCATTTAAACTGGCAGAGTGCGACACCTTACCCACCCTAACTGAGGCTAAGCAAAACTAAAAAACACAAAAGGACTTGAAGGGTCCGCATCATCATATGAGACTATTGCACTAGCCACTACTCCGCAACGTACCGGCGGAATTGGCGTATTTCCCTCGGGCGGCTAAACTTACGCGAAAATTCTATATAACTTCTTTCAGAGAAACGAATAGCAGAAACGGAAGTCGATTTGGAATCAGGGTCCCAAGACGAATGTAACCGTATACAACTCCTCGCAAAAGAACACGGACATCGAGTTTCCTTGTCAGCTGTTGATTCCACTTATGGGATTTTCGCTTTAATGGAAATTTTTGCTCAAAAGTTATAATGATATAGCTAACAGCGATTTTTTCACGTTACCAAAAGTCTGATCATACCTCTAAATTGCTCTACAAACATAACAAGGTTATTTACTAGGCTCAGAAATGCAATAACGACATTGTGCCGGAAGCGTTTGCTTTAACCCAAACTATAATAATAAAGAGAAAAAGAAGATTCGTCCGGACTCGTTTCGTGCTTCAGTTTAGATTTAAACTATCCCTACAACTTGCTGCCTACACGAAAGCTATTCCAAGAAAGGTGTTAGCGAAACGCTTTACATGTCTTGGTACACCCTGTGTATGACATATTGATGTGACCTTTCTAGTTGTTTTCTCGAGGAGTTTTAGTGTTTTCATGAAAAGACCGAAGACTCTGTCTTCATCGATTGGTTTTGACACATCGAGCGGAGCTTTCATGGTGACAGCTCTGTAAAATTACTATTTTAGGCTTCGCAAACTCAACACTACTGAAAAGTCGGAACCTATCTATCATGAATACAACTTCAGGTTTTAGTTCTTTCACTACCTGAGTAAAGTTGAAGGGAAATTGACAATTGGGATAAAACATTTCACATCCTAAACTTGTCATCGTTATTAATGAATCGACATATGAGTGAAGCTTTGTGAAAACAAACATACTTGATATACAAAATATGTTGAACTGCCTTGCATACCGTTTGAATGCCTTGTAAATGACATCGCCTTGGTTGCAGGCAAAGCTATTGCCAGCGACCAGCATGTCTATCCTGCCATTTCCACTCTAAAGACAAGAAAATAATCAATATGCAGCGTACACAAATACACACTCTTTCAAACGCAGAAGCCTTCATTTACAGGTGACACTAATTAGCTTATTGTAAACCAGTAGTTGGTACACTAAATGCAGGGTGTCCCAAGAAAAATGTGAGCACTGTTTGACCGTTGATAACTCTCTTGCTTTCATGTCTTCCAGCAAGCTTGAGGTACCTTTATCTTTCTACAGAGCGAGGTTCAACTTAGAATCAAATCATGAAATGAATTTCTCCTTCCCCCTCCCCCTTATAATGGTCGACCGCCTCATCGTGGCGTGTGGGTGACACTGGGTGTCGAACTGCGATGCACAGCCGAGTGTATACTCTGGCAAAGCCTCCCACGCTGTAAAGGAGTTCGACGTTTCCGGTTTCGGCCGGATGCCTAGCTAAGAGCCGGCCAGGCCAGATCCACGGCGTCTGGTTTTCAGGTCGTTAGGCGGTTCTCCCCGGCCCAAGCCCGGGTAAGCGATCGACCCATGGAAATCAAGAGTAGGCCTTTTAAGTCTGCTCTTGTAGGGGAAAATTCATATTACTCCTCCAGTTAGAAGATTAGAAAGAAACCCTGCACATGGGATCCCACCTACGGCGCCGGGTGGTAGCAAGAACGATGTCAGGGTACTCAGGGCGCCTTTTGGATTGGACAAAAACGACACGTCTGCCTGGACGTCATAGAGACTGCCTTCTTTGCACCTACAATGCCAGGAGGGTATTAAGGTCTCCACACTCTTCTAGACGCTGCGGAGCACATCAAGTACCACATCATCGCTCTGCAGGAGACGGATTTCAAGAAGAAGGACGTGCGACAGATGGAGTGATGGGACGCTCATCATTCGTTGTGAGAAGGTTCCATCACGAAATGTTAGAAGCGTTGGCTTTGTCGTCCACCCATCTATCGCCCATCTTGTCGATTTGCACGAGATACTTTCATCTCAACTAGCCATCCTGCGATTGCGACCTCCACGTCAAAAGACCATCAGCATTAGCAACTGCTACTCTCCAACATCACAGCTGATGAATCAGAACTAGGAGCTTTCTACGATGATGTGGAGGAGGTCGTCGGCAACGGGAAGTCTTTAACGAGCTTGTTGTTTGCGACTTTAACGCGAAAATCGAAATGCCGCTAGAAAAGAAATCTAGGATTGGGAAGTTTGGACATGGCTCCGGAACGAAAACGGCAACCTTCTCATTGGGATGCTCTTTTTATACAGAAAGAACATTACCGGTGGACATGGAATCGCCGAACAGAACGACTCACGAGGAGAACGACTACATTCTTATCAACCGGAGATGGAACTTGCTTGATGTCTCAGTAGTAGTCCATCTTTCTGCAGTGGTTTTGATCACTGTCTCCTTCGAGCGAAGGTACTATTCAGTCGAAAGCTGGAAAAGAAGGTCTGCCACAGCACCTCAAGAAAGAAAGAATCTATTTATGACGGTAACAGGTTAGAAGAGATCATATCAAGTTGTGACTGGCCCATCAAGGGGGACCTAATGTACGATTATGACCGGCTTCTGAAAGGATTGCGAGCCTGTGGAAAGTGAGCTTCAGGACTTCTGAAAAGAAGTTGGAAATTTCGAAAACTACCAGGGAATTGCTCGAAAGAAGAAGATTTCTGAGGCAGGATTCGAGTGCAACCCATCTCGAGCGACTGATAGCCAAAGCCAGTTGCACAACAGTTTTGCAGGAGGATCTCAGGAAGTACAGGCAAGCCAAGATACTGGAAGCAGCCGAAGGAAGTCTCAAGAAGTGCCAAAGGGACCTCTGCGAATGTCGCGTACCGCTGGCTGCACTACTGAACGAAGACGGGACTCTTACTTTTTTCCGATATAAGATGGAATCGATTGCAAAGAACTTTTACACCAACCTCTTCCGATCATCAACACCCGTGCCGATGCCCGTTGCTCCCACTGGAAAGGTACCACCAAGGATTTTACCTGCTGAAGTGCGTATCGCGATACAGACCCTGAAAATGTCCACGGCTCCAGGACCAAATTATCCTTCCATCGAACTTCTGCGAGCCCGAGGACAACGTCTACACGAGATTCTAGCGTCACATTTGACATCTTACCTTTAGAAGGAGAAGATTCAACTAGTAGAGAATATACCTGCTGAGTGTGCTGTACAAGCTTTTCACGGAGACATCCTCGCTCCTGGATGAAGCCCAACCCCAAGAACAAGCTGGATTTCGCAAAGGATTCAGCTGCGTGGACCACATTCAGACGGTTTCGAGGGTCATAGAAGTCTGCCGGGAGTACCGACTGCCTCTCGTCCTAACCTTCGTCGACTATGTGAAACCCTTTGACAGCGTTGAAACCAACGCCATTCTGTCTGCTCTAGTCGATCAAGGAGTGGACCCAGCTTACGTGAGGACATTAGCCGACTGTTACAAGAAGACTGTACAACGACGATGCAGCTGTTCCATCGCCCCCTAACCATCCCATTCAAAAAGAGGTCCGACAAGGCGACACAATCTCGCCGGAGCTGTACCGCGGCCTTGCAGTGGGTGACGAACTCACTGGACTGGGACGAGAGAGGCATACGAGTTGATGGGAGATTCCTGGCAAACCTTCGTTTTGCGGACATGCATACCGTTCCCTTTTTCGAGCAGTATCACTGAAGCAGAAACGATGTTGAAGGGACTAAACGAAGTAGGGAAGAAGATCGGATTGCGACTAAATCGGAAGAAGACTCAGTTCATGAAGAACGCTTTTTGCGAAGATGCAGAAATGAAACTGAAAGGCACCCCTTTCATGGAGACGTCTTCTTACGTATATCTCGGACGTTCGGTGAACATGGAGAACGACTTGAAGGAAGAACTTAACAGGAGAAGAAGAGCAGCTTGGGCCGCCTTTGGGACTCTGAAGGAAGCCACCGACCAACTGACTGACCCGGAGCTTTGTGCCAACTGTTCGACTCAACCCTTCTCCCGGCGTTCTGTTACGACTTGGCCCGGCACTGTAGTCACGTCGAAAGCTCTACGGACCACCCACGAAGCGCATGAGCGCAGAGCCAACACAAACAACACCTTGTCGGACTTCGCAGTACGAAATAAGAAGAAGGTCCTGTTCGTGACCCAGCGGCATACGTTGCTAAAGCGAAACATCGATGGGCTGGTCACATCATGAGAAGAACAGACGACAGATGGACACTAAGAACGTCGAAGTGGATTTCTCGCGAAGAAAAACGTCCCCGAGGAAGATCTTCAGCGAGATGGGCAGACATGTCCGTGGAACAGATGGACCAGCTTAGAAACCAACTGTATACGATTTTCGCACCTAAAACTCGTAGACGCAGCCACCGATGACAACCAAGAAGATGTCATATGTCTGAAGCGAGGGACAGGGATTAATGGCAACTTCTGTACTGGGCACGACACGTGAGGACGGGCCATCTAAGTATCTGAGTATCTGACGAATCTGCAATCTTTCTTCTTTACTGTAGGATTACTATAAATATTTAGCATATAGCGCCACTGTGGAGTGGGCCTCAAAAAAAAGAACCCAAAACTCCAAAAATCTGTGTAGCAATGTTCTCAGGCGTGCTGATTTCACTAATAGCTTTTTATCAGTTTTTCGAGTTTTTCAATATTTTTCAATGGTTTCGAGTTTTTCAATAGACACAATTCTGACGAACATCGAAAGATCAGTCGCTAAACCTGAAATAGCTTATGAAAGAAACATTACAGTGAAGTGCAACTTTCATATTTAGAATCAGCGTCTTTGATTAGTCCTGTATAAAAGTTTTTGGCTTGTTTGATTTTTCTTCTAAACTTTCAATTCCATAAAATCCTTCTCGAAGTTCCCACAGTTATCCTACATTAATGGAGAGTGAATGATGGTTCGCTCCATACTGCAATTCTAAAAATCGCTCTATGGAACGGTTGCTCAAGCTCGGCGAAGGACGTGAAGCAAGAGGGTTGTTAGCGATGAAACAGTGTTCACGTTTTCTGGGACACCCTGTATCTAACCGATAGTTCCGACAAGTATTAGGTTGTCACGAAAGTTCTGTCCGATTTGCAGAGTTTCTGGTATAAAATGTTATGACTACGAAATAACATTGTTGAATTATTCTTTCGCTGTATTGAACTTTGTGGCTACCACAACAGCATGCCATATGAAAAGGGCAAGTGAGAAAGAAGAGAAATATGGAGAATTGCTTTTCCTTAAAGGCAGAGCTCGGACAATCTCTTTGAGAAAATTTCGCCCTGGGATTATCCGAGGCGCTGATGCCGAAATCTACCTTAAAAAGCTTGGAAATAACGAAAATGCGAGAAACGAAAATTTTACAAAAGCCCTTCTTTTTGAATGTGGACGAATGGTACGGTTCCCGTCAGCGTTAGAGGCGCAGAGCCGGTGCGAGACCCTTTCAATTCTACCATTGCGGCATGCCGCCTCCAAAAGCGGGAGGAAAATCACGAGCTCGTCCGAGCGCTGTAAGAAAGGCTAGCACATACGGGTTTCAGGGCAATTTTTTTTGGCAGGGATGGCAAACTGTCCGACCGGGACTGCTCTGTTTTCATAGTTGGAGGGTAAGCAACCACCGCGTCAAAATTCCGAGTGCCTCAGGTCTTGCCTATCCTTGCCTTCAAAACCCGGCAATTTCTACATATTGATGATCACACATAGGGATAGGCGGACATATTTGGCTGCATCATGAAGTAGCCTACACTACAAAGAATATTTTATGGCTAAAGATGGTTCGAATTTTTGCTGCAATGAAATATTTGTGAGCAAATTAAAACCATTATTTAAGCCCTCCTCCGCGCGAGCGAGTTTTATATAATGACTTCTTCAATATTTGATTTTTAATGTCGCAAACAAGAAAAATCAATTAGCTGCTGTTCTGCTTGCTCTCGCTTTACTCTAACATACGCAATATTGAATACATACTTGTCGCTATAAGATGATTGCAGTGGTGGCCCGAGGGGGGGGGGCTTTTTCCGAGAAT